TGGGGAAGCTAACACGGCTAGCGCCAGTCCGCTAGCTAAAAGCGTGGTAAATTCTAGAAAGCGCATAAGGATGCCATTTGTGTCGTAAGCTCCGAACGTGGATATTTTCTTGTGGGCAGCTTGTTTATTACAACTCATTATAATGTACCTGGCAGCGTTTGCTGACGGTCGAACGGTGGCTTTATACCCACTCTCTTTGTTCGAGAAACGATATTTTAGCGAAGGAGCTAACGCTAGCTAAGGCTTGTGGACCAAGCGAGGATCATGTTTCCTCGCGGTGGCCAACGCTAGAAACATGAAGCTATTTGTAGGTCTTGGGACGCAGCGGTCGAAATCAAACTGCAATTTGAGTTTTTTGCATTAAGCAGGGTTAGTAATTTGGTTGGTCCATGACAAACCAATCCGTGCTGACAACTACCAATGCCTTCAATCGGGGCTTCCTTACCGTATCTTCGCTGTCCGGTTTCCCTCTGATTGGCTCCAGTACAGCTCGCTAAAGCCCAATCAACAAAGTGAGCGGACAAAATGGCGCAAATGAAACAACGGCGACTGGGAGAGAGGTGCGCAGCTGCGTGACACTTGAACAGGGGGGCGAGGCAGCGTGCAGTGTCCCTGTCCCCTCGGCAGATGTCGCCATTTAGTTTGAGTTTTTATATTTTAGCGGACTTCTCCTGGCTTGTATTATTTATGTTAACTGGTATTCGATCATGTTAAAAGTGGAAATTAATCCAGCATCAGTACCGTTAAACCTGCAACGCGTGCAATTTAAGTAGTGTTATGGTTCAGGTGACCACCTTTGTTCAGTACAGGGACACGTAATGTTACCTCCGTAGCGCTAGTTGGCAGTAGAGCGCCGATTTTATGCTATGAGCCCAGTGTTTGCGGAAGTACTTCTATGAGTGGTGCCATGAGTGCGTGAGCAGCAAGGTTGATTTTAATTTATAGTAAAATAAGTTTTTGTTTTCATGACACGTAAGTGACTCCCTAAAAAACAAGAAAAGAAAAACGAAAGGAATAAAAGGACGA